CACATACAATATAGAGGAAGAATGGCATAGATGTTAGCTCAGGGCTAATCATCCTCAAGGAAAAAAAGAGGAAGACTGGGAACGGATGTTAGCTCAGGGTGAATCTTTCTCAGCAAAAAAAAAAAACTCCCTTTGACCAAGCAATTCCACTTCTGAAACTATCCTTAAGAGGTATCTGAAATGCAAACATTTAAGCATAAGCAAAAACTCTTCCCACTGTAACCACCTAACCATTCCAAAACTAATAAGAAATCATGGAAAATATTGTATATTGATGCAGTAAATCAAATGACCATTTGTAAACAATTAACAAAAAATCATAATGACATGAGAAAATGTTTATGTTAAATGCTGAGTAAAAAAAGCAGGATCTAAAACTGTATTTACAGTGTAATCAGCACATGCTAAATTTTATTTTAAAAACAGATAAAAATCAAAATGTTAACACAGATTTATCTCTGAATGCTACTTATTTTCTTTTTCTGCTTTTATGTATCCCATCCCTTCGAAATAGTTTTTTAAGCAAAACACGCATCTATTTCTTTCTATATAATTAATGCTGGCTAAAAAAAATCCCTTCTCTGACAGTGTTAATAACAAGCTATAACCTATAGATCTCATAATTGAGTTTTTACTCAGTAATAAATAATTAAAACTTTGCAGACAAAAGTTTGAATGGGGTGGGGAGGAGGGGTGGACTGGATTCAATCATTTCCTCACTCCATTAAAAAATTAGATAGATCATAGTAAAATGCAAAAATGGAACCATAACAGAATTGAGAAGAAAAATTTATCCTTGGGATGGAGAAGGCAAAGGAAGAAAAGAAACAATGAGTTGATAGACTTGACTACCTAATTTTTAAAACTTCTATAAATGAAAACAAACCATAACAAGTAGTAAAACCAGCAAAAAGTATTTGCCCATGTCAGTGGATTGATACCCTTTCCCCAAAGGGCTCTAACAAAAAAACAAGCATCTCCAAAATTAAAATGGTCCAAAATTAAAATAGACAAAGGAAACTAACAGACAACTCATAAAATAAAGAAAAATGGCCAACATGTGGGAAGATCTTCAACTCTATAGAAACCAAAGAAATGCTACCTTTAACCACAGGACTTCTTTTTTCCACAAACTTTTACTAAAAATGGTATGCTGTGTTGACTAGGATTTGGAGAAATGGGCACTCTCACAAAGTATTAGTAGGAGTATAAATTGGTCCAATCAAAAAAAAAGATGATTGGTTGGACCTTTCCAAAAGACAATTTAGCAATCTGTTACAAGTCGTCAAAATATGCATACCCTTAGGTCCTATAAACCCATTTCAGGAATTTAACTTGATAAAATCAGAATCATATTCAAATGTGATAATCATAGCAACATACTACACAGCAAAACCTTGGTGGGGGGGAGACTAGAGGCCCAAATTTAAATCATGGAGTAGAAATATTAACTGTTATCTCCAGGTGGTCAGATTAAAATTATCTCATTTTCTTTAATTTTCCTGAACCTTTCCAATTTTCTATTCTCAACATGCTATGTTTTTATAACAAAAACAAGTTGAAGAAACTATCACTGCAGCAATCTTAACCAAAGTTGCTATAAAATTGAATTCAATTCCACCACTTGAGAAAAACAAGAAAAAGTAAATGATAGAATGAAAATGCTACTGCATGGCCCAGAGGAAGGGGGAGCCTACAAATACCTGTGCTAGAAGTAGGAAAGGCTAGGAGCATCCCTGAGAGCAAGCCAACAGATAAGCAGTGGGAGTGAGCGATTTCCTAAAGAAGAAAAGAGAACAGAAAAAGAGAGGAACAGATCAGCTGTAGCCCAAAAAATTACAGAAAAAAGGAAAAGAGAAAAATAATAGAAGAGGAATAAGATGTCTAGTTCAATTATGGATAGAAGGATGGGTGGAAAAGAGCAGAGGGAATAATCAGGAGAAATTAAATATATTCCAAAAATCCAACTTTCTTTTATATCTTAAGGATGAACAAAAACTCTTCTAAAAAAAAACTAAGTGACCTTGACGGAGAGAAGGGCAAGAGTAGTCACAAGAAGGAAGCTATACAAAGAAGATAGCTTAATACAAGTCTGGAAGAAAACAGCAGATCAAAAACGAATGAATTAAAAAATCCTAGGAGGAAAAAATTGCTGCTTAAATTCTAAACTGAATGAGTTAATACTCTTCAATTATAAGTACTTCATAACCTCTTCTAAGTCCTTTCATCATATGGATCAAGTGGTTTGTGCTGTAAAAACAGTTAGGCATAATGTAAAGAATCACTGACATCAGAGTCAAGAGGCTGAGAATCAAGACCTGATCAAGCTGTGTAAAGTTGAGCAAGCTACCACACCGAGAAAACAGCAATTACATACTTGGCACACAGAGTTTCTGAGAGTCCCAACTGAAAGAAAATGTACAAAAAATTTTTAAACTTAAAACACTCCTCCAGTACTGTTGCAGTGGATGCTGTTATTTATTACCATTATTTGAATCACTGTATCACTATGAATACATTGACAAGGCCCAGTCCACTGTTTTTTGAAACAAAAGCCACAATAACAGCATTTTACTTAGGAAAGCTAAGCAACAGGAGTCAGATAAAGAGAATGAAAATATAGAATCGTAAGTAATTGCTCTCTCTCAATCAATCCCAATCCTCTCACTCCCAAAAATCATTAGAGGTTTCTTCAAGGTTAGATCATTGCTAGTATAGCACACGATACCAGGGTTTCAACAGTCAGACTGGGGTTTGATGAAAACGTCCCTTCCAGTTCTGAGCAAAAGAATCAAGCTGTCCAAGAAGGCAAAATGAAATTCAGATGAACAAATATCTTCTCATTTGCATTCTTAGTCAAATTGCTATGATTTTCTGACTAAAGTTCTACATTTCTGTCCTGAAAATAATTATACTTATCCACACAAAAATAGGAAAAATCCATATATTCCAAGTTATTAGTAAATTATAGTACAGCCACACAATTGAACATAAAAACTTCAAAAGTCATGTTTTTAAACAATTTTTAAGGACACAAGAAATGACAGCTGAGACACTAGGTTAAAAGAAAGCAAAAAGGCCCTCTTTTGTGTACTAGCTTTTGTGGGGAAATGTTTTTTGAAGATGTGCAAAAGCTGACATTGCGAGACCTGAAATGGGGCTAAACTACTGAAAGGGAGAGGGGATGAAAGCTATAAAAACCCTAACTACACTTTGCTTTATAGTCTTTGGCACGTTTTCTGCCATTCTAAACACATTTTAAAATTTTATTCTTTTCCTTCACAACTAAACATACGATTGGCTTAGAGCACATGAACTATAGCAAAAGATTTGCCATTCTACAAACCTAATTGAGTTTCATTTTGATTACAACTTCATTAAGTTATTTAAACCAATGCATCTTAAACACTAGTATTAACCACTTCCATTTCTGTTTCCTGCTTATATTTTTAAAATACGTAATAAAATAAAATGAATAATTTTATATAACACTAACACGTAGAAAAGATAATGGTGCTGAAACATCACTGCGGATTTTAGAAGCAATGTACTATGTGACAGCCCAAAATGTGCATCAGTCATGTGCAGGAGTCCAAATATAACCTTAGGATTAATATGTATGAAACTCCAGTTTTTCAAAAGGTATAAGTTACTTATATGCACATACATGCACATATATACACATACAAGCAGTAAAAAAAAAAAAAAGACAAAGGAGAAATAGGCCAATGTTAACAGTTGGTATAACTGGATTATGGAATTGTGATGTTTTTCTTTATACTTTTCTGTATTTTCCAAATTCTCTAAAATAAATATGTAACATTTTTATAATGGGGAAAGGGTATTTTAATCAACTGCATAAATAAAGTTAAGGGTGGCTGCTCCAAAGAACAACCTGAATGTAAAAAAGCAAAAAACTTCAGAACAGAACTCTGTACTAAGCATTGCACTAAGAGTTTAACATACTATCGTACTGAAGTTAACCAGTAACTCTATATAATAGGTATCCCCTGTGTGGCTAAGAAATTGAGGTTTCCTGAAAGATTTAACAAAGGACACACAGCTATTTAAGGGCAGAGGCAGAAACTGCAGACAAAGCTGTCATAGTCCAAAGTCCACAGGCTCACAACCACTAAAATAGCCTGACATCAACATGATGTGCTTCAATTTAGTCTTTACATTTGACATTTAAAATTTATTTATAATTTACTACAGAATATATACATGGTAATGCCTCAAAATATTGCATCAGGTAATCAAATTAGAAATTAGCCATTATTTATTGCAAGATAACATGATTAGTCCAGGGATTGGAGAATTAGGCCTTGCAAGTAAAGCTCTGAGTAGTTTATACATAAAATGACAGTCCTTGGCTAACTCATACACAGAATTTTATACTCAAGAGAATGCATCTGATTCTTCACCCTACCTCCTATACAACTACTCCACTGAAAAGATCAGCTGAACACCAGACTACTAAGGAAATGATGAGAACTGATCTGCTAACAAAGTCAGATTGCCTCACCAGCCTGTCAGCATCCACAGGCTGCCAAAAAGTATGATGACAAAAAAAACTCAACAGCTAGGTATCAAAACTCAAGATCTTAAAACAAATGAAGCTTCCTTTCAGTAAAGTAAATCGATTAGTCGATATACATGAAGAAAGGGACCACGAACGGCTGAAGGACATGTTGCAGCACATGTTTAGGGAAGGAAAGAGAAAGAGGAAGGGCAGACAGAACATGACACCCCACATGCTAACAACCCTTAAATTAGATCTCTGATAACATCAGTGACTGAGAACTATTTTTTGTGTCTAGCATATTTGGGGAATGATTAAAGAATCGCGTTCAGTTCCAGTTTTGTGTTACTTGGCTCAAAAGTTAGGAAAAAATTACCCATTTGTAGTAAACCATACAAGTTTTGGTCCTCATAATGAGGTTTTAAAAAATATTTTCATTTATCCCGAATTCCTTTTCAAATTACCATTAAATACATACCTTCCTCCTATCGAGTCGTCTTGTGGTTGGGCCCCGGCAGTGTTCCTCTGTGAACGTCGCAGTGACCCCCCTGGATTGTTATTAGGCTGGTTGGACATTGGCACCTCTCTCTTGAAGGGACATACCCTTTCTAGACACTACCATTCACTGAAAGGAAAAAAAAGGAGAAAAAAATAAAATATCAGCTATACATGGTACCACAGAGAAAACAAACAAGGGGCACCAAAGATGAAGGGGAAATTCCATGTAAACTGTTTGATAGCACAGCCTTCACCAATGCTGCACTGTCTTAAATTGTGAAGTCTGATTGATTAAGGTGTTATAAAATGTCAAGAATATACCAAATTCAAGGCATGCGGTCCAGAACTCAGCACATAAAATTAATGCAGATTTCTCATGGAACACCCAGGAAATTTCCAATTCAACGAAAACAGAGCACAAGCAGAAATCGGTCTTTGGTTCCACGTTTCTAGTGCTGTGTAGAAAAGGGCTTTGCACCTAAAGTCAGAACATCTTGGCTCAAGTTCTGTGATAGAACACGTATTAAAGGAGTCTGCCTTTGTACAAACCACAGCCTCTAGCCTTCGATTCCTCAACCACAGAATAAAAAACAGTGTATGTCATGCCTACTTCACAGTATTGCTGTGAATAATAAATGCAATCATAAATACAAAGAAAACCATAAAACTATAGTATCTTAATGGAGAAATGAGGAGAAAGCAGCTCAAATACAGTAAACTGAGAAATGGTTCCAGAAAGCCTGAATTTCAACATCAGCTGTGCTGGTTGTGACTTTGGACAAGAAATTTAATCTCTAGATTTCGTTTACCTCTTCTGTAAAATCACTGTATTACCTACCACACAGAACTGTTAGCAACAAGAAATTGTGAACATAGTTCATATGTGTAACAATTTAGCTCAAAACGCAGTTCTTAATCAATCTGAACTTTCTTTCTGTAAGAAATTTAATTATTGTACAGAAAAATGCTGATACTTAAAATCAGTTTAACTGAAAAAACAGGTCAATATTACTATCACAGAAAGAATTACAATTTATCAAAGCAAATTTTCACAATTTTTCTTAAGCCTCCAGTCAAACTCCAAATAGAGTTCTTTAATGACTTCCAAGGAAGAGAACAAATGATCATATGACATTACAGAAACTGGTGCCAAAGAGAATGCAAATTAATCATAAAACAAAATCCAGTAATAGATTTAGTTAAGAGACTTCCATGTACTCTAACAGGAAAGTGGTTTTCTTTTGAGTTACATACTGACCCAACTCAGCAAAAAAGGATTGTTTTTCATGTCACATATGCCCACATCATCAGTAATATACTAAATAAACTTTGGTCAGAAAGTTCAAATTACTAATGTAATTTTAGAAAGAAAAAAGAGGAAATACTACAAAAACATAAAAGGAGAGAAAAAGAGGAAGGTTAAATTTACATGTACTGATGTGGAAAGATCTCCTCAGGACATGTTAGGGGAAACAGTATAAAACTCCTGTCTGTGTGTGCGCGCACAATAAAAAGGCTTGCACGTGTATCTTTATATATCGTCTACACATTAAAAACTATGAATATAAAACAGACTTTGTTAATACTGACTGCCTTTGAGGAAAAGAATTAGGGGTCTGCAGTTTGAGATGAAAGGAGTCATTTTTGTTATTTACCCTTTGTAAGCAATAAGGTAGGTCCCTCTAGCACAGGAGTTACAAATGAAGGGACTCTGGAGTCAAACTGCCTCTGATGAGTTCGCATCCTGACTCTAACATCAACAAGTTGTATGACCTTGTTGTATGCATACTTCTCTGTGCTTCAGCCTATCAAATGGGATAAAGAACTTAACCTCACCGAGAGCTGTGAGGATTAAACGAGAAAATCCAGGCAAACCACTGAACACAGTGCCTATCATACAGCAAGGGCTAGGTACATATTAGCTATTATTGTTATTATTATAAACATTTATTCAGAAGAATAAAAAGAACACTTGCGATAAAATAAAATAATATAGTGGGAGAAACTTCACCATAAAAACCACTGTCAAAAACACTGCATGATTTCACTCATGTGGAAGATAAACACAGGGACAGAGAGAACTGCTGGGTGGTCACTGAGATCAAGGGAGTTGGGGGGTAGGCACAAGGGGTGAAGAGATGCATTTATATGGTGACTGACAAACAATAATGTACAACTAAAATTTCACAATGTTATAAACTATTAAGACATCATAAAAAAAATACATCATTACCACTAAAATTTCACAATGTTATAAACTATTAAGACATCAATTAAAAAAAAAAACTCACTGTCAACATGAACCTTAAATTTCTAGCAATATAATTTCAAAAGTAAATTCTGCCAAAAGGAAAACACATAAGAAGTGTTCTTAATGAAGGGTGAGCACCACCATCACCTGGGAAGCTTTGTCAAAGTATGAATGCCTGGCCTCCGCCCTCAGAGATTCTGATTCTGTGGGTGCAGAAACTAGAGATATGTCTTAAAAGAGCTCCTGGTTGTACTGCACTAGAGAACAAGTGCACCCGAGTAGAGAATTAAGTAAGAGGCCAGTCTATTTCAGAATTCATCCACGAAGTTTCACTACTTCAAACTAAACCCAAGGCCATTTCACTTGGACCCTAAACAGCATGGATACAAGAGAAGAACATGACACTGCTGCTTTCACTTTGGAAAGCAAAGGATACCATTATTAAACAAGGCTGGCAGATCTCACCTGCCCACTTCCTGCTGTTAAATGACTACTATATGTCATGGGTGGTAAGTCATTCAAATGAATATAAGTGACACTGGTTATTCTGACCTATAGTTACCAAAGTAACCTTAATAATGTTCCCACTATCTTCAGAACTTCTCAACCAGCACCATTATCAGCCAATAGCCCACTCACGGATAATTCTTGAGATTTAAGAGAGGAAGAGGGACAAGCAAAAAGATAATTATTTACCAAAGTGGTACCTGCTTTTAAAGCATAAGTTGATTTTTTAAAGAAGGCCCGACTCTGTTAAACTTTGAATTCACAAAAAGTAAATATAAGATTAACATATGACACATATAGGATCTCCCCCTCTGCCAGGTTATCAACAAACTCAGAGATGGAAGGGACCCTCGGGGATGAGCAAGTTCAATCCCTTGCATTACAGACAAATCCAAATGAAGAAAGTTCAAGTCATCTGTTGAGGAACCAGTCCTCTGAATCCTGATACCGAGGAGACCAGTCCCCTCCAGAAATCACACTACACCAGTTTCAACCAAAATTTAACTCCTCTTTGGCTCCAGATAAAAAACCAAAAGTTTTCACCGCACAATTATTTCCTTCTTGTTATATGAATATTCTGTACTGTCTTGACCAATTACTTATGCCTACCATATTTTATTAATTAAATTTTAAAACACAAAGGTGAGTTATACTAATATAAAAACTATATTGCTAGAAATCATGTTTTAATAACCTGAAATGAATGTGAACTCAAAGATTCCATCTTAATAGGCTATCTCATAATGTTGAAACTAGGAGTTTTAAGTCCAGTCTATTAATAACCTGACTATCAAATCCTGAAATATTACTATTCTTCTAACCATGGATATAACACCTTCATTTCTGTGAAAATAATCATCAAGATTTTTCACGTAAAACCTTTGATGTTAAGTCCTAAAGCACTGAAATAAAACAGATGGCATATGACTTTGAACTCAATAGGAAAAGCATAAGAACATTAACTGATATGTTCAAGATTGACAACAAACTCACAATGACTTTGTTTACAGCTCTAAGTGTCCAACAAATTTACTCACTGTTCAGGCTAAAACGCATTTGAATTTTATGTGAAAAAGTACTTAGCTCTCCGGGCAAATAGAACTTCTTCAGGAAAAACAGAATTGTATATTAATCTATACTTAAAAATTCATTCTTAAAATTTTATACGAAGGATATGCTTACAAGGAAACTTCAACTGCAAACATTTTGGAAATTAATTTTCCTCTAATTTCATAACTCAAAAATCACAGAACAGAAGTTAAAGTTAGGGAAAAAAACTTAGAAAAACAAATTCAACCATTCATTTGGTGCAAAACTTTGAGAACATCCAGAGAAATCAATTGCAAAACTTAACTTTAGGATGTGGTTGTTCTTCCTAGTCAAATGGCCAAAAGTGTGAAAAGAAAACAGATGCCACAAAGGTTAGTATTTATGCAGAACTTTTTTCACATGAAAATCTGATAGGCTGGAGAACAAATCTCTAATTTAGTAAGCCAGCAGAGTCATGTGAACACCCCAAAGCAAGCTAATATGTTTACTCATGTAATCACTACCTATTACCTATTTGATAGGCAACTCTAAAAACTGAAGGAAAGTTGGATTATTTTCACAGTAAAGATAACATTAAAAAAAAAAAGCGCTAACACTTATATCCCACGCAGTGTCTGCAGAAAGTTTTCAGCTTTCAGAGCTGACATTTAAAGTGAATCTTATTTACCCAGTGTCTCCCCTAATTTCTTATGCACTCTATTTAGATGCGGTCCTCCAAGGAGACTAGGTTTGGCTTCAGATTATGAAACTAGTAACAGTAATAAACACAGTTTGCATAGCACTTTACTCATTTGTTTATTCTAATAAGCAAAATTTAAATGTGCCAATGAGCCTTATAAACCATTTTATCACTAATAAGGAAACTGAAGTGTTACAAAACTAAGTAGCCTGCATGCAACAAGTAATGGCATCCGGACCTGCAGACGTGAACAACCACACACACTAGACCTTAGGAGTACAGTAAGTCAAACATACCAGGGGCGGTGCTAAACAACTCTTGAAGTGGACTAGAAGTCACCCTTGCTTATAATAGAAGTCATTCTTACTTAAGTAAGAATGGCAAGGACTTCAAACAAGACTATCTTTAAAATGGGAATAAATAACCTTTAGGCTTCCCTAACAGCAAGGGATTGAGAGGTGCTGAGATACAGAGGCAAAGAAAACAACCCCTGCTCACAAGGAGCTTAGTGCTCTATATCCCCGCCACTAGACTATAAAACAGAAATACTGAGGCTCAAACCCTGGCTCTGCTATTTAATCATAAGACATACAAGTACCTTAGCTTCATCTCTGTTTCTTCCTCCTTTAAACTAGAGATA